GATGAATCGCCTCCGAGTCGAGCGCCTCACCTCTTTAGAGTATTGAAAAGCTGTCTCGTTTCCTCCACGCTGTCAAATAAGTCTTTTATGTGGTTGTTTTTCAGGAGATTGCTGCTAGAAAGTGTTATTAAAGAGGCCCTATTGTGCTTGTTGGGGTGTGTCCCATGCCCTGTCGTGTGTTCTCTAGGTGTCTGTGTCTAGAATACTCAAATCCCAACGTTTAGGCCCCTGAAAGTGAAGGAAAAGCAACACAAAGCGATAAGAGCGTTCTGGAGTTGCATGTTGGGTAAATATGAGATGAGGAATGCATGGAGGCTGATATAAGTCTCTGCACAATCTGATAAAGCATGAAGTTCAGCTCACAGGTAGACTCAACAACTTTCCTCTCTGCGTTCAGCTGCCGGGACACAACAGGCTTTTATCTGCTGCTCGGCAAACACACGCAGCCTTCAAGCATTTCATTATGTTCAACAAATACGCTTTCAATATGTCAGGAAGGCTGGTTCTGAGAGCAGGTTCTAGATGAAATGAAATGTCTGCTTTTGGGTTTCATATTGCTGAGGGATGCAGAAATTTCTCTAGCTTGACTTAATGAGGAGAAATCATAATGTGCAACTAGACAGTTCTGTTCACTTACACCTAACGTCCAAAGTGAGAGATGTGTTTTATAGCCTCTGTTTGAGCAGACATGAAAAGTGGATTTATGGCATCATTTAGACTTTTCCCTAAAAATCCTCTTTCCTCTCCGAGCAGGGTGTTTCCACGCTTTGCTTCAGGCAGCCTCTTTGCAAAGCACAGAGGAATGTCTGTGAGGTGAAGGACTCCTTAGTAAAAACATCGTTGATTTAAGGGAGTAGTTGGAGTTTGGGGAACACACTGAGAACACCGCTCAGCTTAGGGGGAGATGCAGCTCAAATATTATATATTACATATTTCTTTTAAAAATCACTAGATTATTTTAAAGGTCCTGCTTCTCTGGTTCTAACCCGTCCCCTTGTGTTCTGTAGCTTCTGACCCGTCCCCTTGTGTTCTGTAGCTTCTGACCCGTCCCCTTGTGTTCTGTAGCTTCTGACCCGTCCCCTTGTGTTCTGTAGCTTCTGACCCGTCCCCTGGTGTTCTGTAGCTTCTGACCCGTCCCCTGGTGTTCTGTAGCTTTCTGACCCGTCCCCTGGTGTTCTGTAGCTTCTGACCCGTTCCCTTGGTGTTCTGTAGCTTCTGACCCGTCCCCTGGTTTCTGTAGCTTCTGACCCGTCCCCTGGTGTTCTGTAGCTTCTGACCCGTCCCTGGTGTCTGTAGCTTCTGACCGTCCCTGGTGTTCTGTCAGGCTTCTGACCCGTCCCCTTGTGTTCTGTAGCTTCTGACCCGTCCCCTGGTGTTCTGTAGCTCTGACCCGTCCCCTGGTGTTCTGTAGCTTCTGACCCGTCTCCCCTTGTGTTCTGTGAGCTTCTGACCCGTCCCCTGGTGTTCTGTAGCGTTCTGACCCGTCCCCTTGGTGTTCTGTAGATTCTGACCCGTCCCCTGGTGTTCTGTAGCTTCTGACCCGTCCCCTTGTGTTCTGTAGCTTCTGACCCGTCCCTTGTGTTCGTAGCTTCTGACCCGTCCCCTGGTGTTCTGTAGCTTCTGACCCGTCCCCTGGTGTTCTGTAGCTTCTGACCCGTCCCCTGTGTTCTGTAGCTTCTGACCCGTCCCCTTGTGTCTGTAGCTGTCATGACCCCGTTCCCGTCCTTGTGTTCTGTAGCTTCTGACCCGTCCCCTGGTGTTCTGTAGCTTCTGACCCGTCCCCTTGTGTTCTGTAGCTTCTGACCCGTCCCCTGGTGTTCTGTAGCTTCTGACCCGTCCCCTTGTGTTCTGTAGCTTCTGCATGTGAACGCTCTGCAGAGTCTCCAACCCCTCAAAGTGCACCCTGTAGAGCAGGGGTTCCCAACCTTTTTCCCCAAGAGCCCCCCAAATGACTCCTGTTGGAACTTTCCCCCCCTCCACACACACACACTAGGGGGGGGGGGGGGGGGGCAACAGCGGTAATTAAAGTTTAAAAGTCTCAAAATGCTACAACTTCTGTCACAAACTGGATGAATGTGAAGTATGTTGTGAAAGGAGGATGAAAGCGTAATCAAGGAGCACTATTGGAGTGACTTTGATGGTTATTGGACTCAGGATTCATTCATTTGGATTCCCGCTGTATGAAGAAATTAAAGGACGGCGGAAGTGGAAACAATTCACAAAGGGATTAAACTGTTTAAACACATGCTCAAAGTGAGCCGGATTTTGCCGATGTGTTTATGTGGATTCAAAAGTCGTAAATAATCAAAATGGAGGAGACCGATCTGATCGGAGCAACTGTGACAAATAATCCAACTGAAACCGGCATGAACAATGACTATGTTTTAAAAATGCGCTTATCCAGACAAGCTCGGTTTGGACACTTTACGGCAGAAGAAACATTTCTATTAAAGAAAGAATTATACATTTCTGTCTTTTTGTGCCTTTAATACTAACTTGAATTACTATTCAAATTAATTAATCAATTCTTTTTTATATTTTATTGTAATGTAGAGACAAGGCTTTTAGCGACAATCATGTATTGCTTTACAATTATATGTAAAAAAAAAAGAATTAAAAAAGATAGTCTAAATATGATATTTGGCCTCAAATCATCTGAGGCCTGGCGCCCCCCCTGCGATCTTTGGCGCCCCCCAGGTTGGGAACCACTGCTGTAGAGAGTAACGGCCCGTCCACACTACAGCTTCAAAAAAAGCTTGGAGCTGGGCGTGTCTGAAGCTTGGGGATTTTATTCGAGCAACGCGACCAACAACCAATCACATGAATCTCCCGCCCCCGACATAGAAAGCAAAAAACCCCGGGGATTTTATGCGAGCAATATATAAATATATAAACTCCCCAAACAGGCGAAACCCTACCAGTTTCACCCACTGTCTCTGCCACCTCCCTCCATGCCTGGCTCCTCCGGTTTGTATCCCGAGAGGTGAAGAGGGTCTGCTCATACAAAACCAGGTGATTTGCTACGGCGATAATTAGTTTCTCCTCCATTTTTTTTTTAAATATAGAAATGAACGGCGGGGTATCTCTCCCAGCTTAGACGCGGTTTGATTGGCTACGGCTTGATCTGTCAGATTTTCAGAAATGGGATTTGATTGGCTGGCGCTGGCTACTCCGGCGTCTCCGCCGTCAGAAGTTGAACATTGTTCAACTTCTGACGGCGGAGACCGACCGCTATGCTACCCACAATTCAATTCGGCAAAAAGCGAGGCAACGTGACGTCACCCCATTCAAAGTGAATGGGCAGACGCGTTGGAAACCGTTTTTGAAGCTGTAGTGTGGACGGGCTGTAACACTCTAACACAGAGAAGACCTGTCTGCTGCCCCAGAACGCCTCGTTGGACATTTCTCTTTTTCCATTGTTTGCTTCCTGGGTTCAGTGACGTGCCCACATGGACCCATTGTTCCAAATGGACCAATCCATGGAGCCGTTACGTCCGCGGAGCCGTTACACACACACACACACACACTGAATCTTTTCTCAGCTGCTGCTCCGCCGATTTCTCCTCCCTGAGACGGCGGGACGCGGCGAGGCTGGGAGTCTGTGTGTGACCGACTCCCAGCCAGGCTGCGGGTCGGTGTGTTTCGGGCTGGTTTCTCTGTGTCTCGCTGTCTCGCCACTGGGCCACTGGGCTCACAGGGGGGGGGGGGGGGGGGGGGCAGGAGCTCCAACAAGCCGTGTAGGACAGAGAGTGAATACACAGACTATACAGAGATGCTGTGAGAAACCAATGTGAGTTTGGAACATTGAACAATGTGAATCTATTCTAGTCGACCTCAACAATGGAACTATGATCAGTGGAAATGGCCGTGACACGGGGCCTTTAAGGAAGAGACCGGCAAGATGCAGCTCAAAGATTAACATCTTTAGAATATAGAATGCCTTCTCTATTAAAATGTCGTGCAGTTTTACAAAATTCAACAAGACAAGTGGAAACATCAAGGAGAAACCGATGCCCTCTTTCCCGTTGAATAATAATGTTTAAAACAACAGACTCTTTTTCTAAATACTGTCAATTCTCCAAAGCTGAAGTATACAGGAAGCATGTGATCGTCTCACTAACGCCACGTTCCCTGAGTCGTCATTTAAAGGGTGTTGTATATGTTATGCAGCGTGAGCAACAATGAGCCCTCTTTAAATGTCTGCTGACTGAGCTAAACTCTCCTGGCAGGTGTGAAATTAAAGCCTGTTTGATTGTGAGTGTAAAGTGTGTTTACCGGCTGCAGCTCAGATCTATTTGTGTCTCGGGACGAACGCTTTGGGAAAGTTAAGATAATCTGTTGTTTCCGTCCCTCTATGATCGATGAGGAGAAAACAAGAGGGTGTTAAGGAGAATATCGTTACTGCTCGCTCAGCATATCTTCCTTTTAAAGCAGCTCAGATTTCTCCTTCTGTTTCTGATCATATATAATAACACTGAAGCAGCGAGGGGCACAGAGGGGGGGCTAAGGAGGAGACTCCACTCCCCTTATAACAGAGGAGGGTTTTACCAGATGCTGAATCCACCTTTTAACCACTTTTCATACACAAAGCGTGAAAACAATTCCCCTTCCCGGGTAATTAGCAGCGTAACGCAGAGCTTTGTGATTAATAAGAACACTTAGGATCAACACACGATAACATTAAATACAATATAGATAGAAACAAGAATAAAATCATATAATAAGAATTAAAATAGGTGTCAAATAATAATTTAAAAAAAATAAGAATATAATAAAATGCGAAGAAAATAAGAATAAAGTAAAATAATAAGTAATAAGAAAAGAATACAATGATAAAAATATAGAAGTATGTAAAATAAAAGGAGGAAGAATACATTAATAAAATAAGCAAACCTGATAAACACCAAAGCCTAAGACCACTAAGAGCTCTACAAACCAGTACAAGCATTATAAGCTTTATTAGCCGCACAGTGATGACAGTGATTTGTGTCCCTCCTCAGGGTTCATCTACACGGGCGACGTGGTCCACCGGATGCTGACGGCCACGCAGTACATCGCTCCTCTGATGGCCAACTTCGACCCCAGCGTCTCCAGAAACTCCACCGTCATCTACTTCGATAACGGTAACAGCTGTTCACCTGTTTGTTTACGTTCAATCCCTCCTCTCTGTCATTAATCTGAGCTTCTAAATAACATCTGATTGTAAACAGAGTTTGTTCCGGACTTGTAAAAAAATCAAGGAAATGGTGTTTTTTCCTTTAAGTTAGAAAGAGGAATGTTACTGACCAGCATTTAGAAATGAATTTGATGGAAAAAAACTAACAAAATGTAAGTAAAAAAATAGTTAAATGCAAAAAAAGGAGACTGCATTACATTACATTTAGCTGACGCTTTTATCCAAAGCGACTTACAGTAAGTGCGTTCGACCAGGAAGACACAACAGAATCATAAAGTCCATCAGGTTTCATAGAGCCAAACATTTCAAGTGCTACTCAACTGGCTTTAGATAAGCCAGTCCTTTATTAGTATATAAGTGCTTTGTTAGTAATTCTTAAGGGTCAGGGCCAGTAAGGGTCAGATCAATTCGCAGCATGGTAAGCAAGTCCCATTGTCTTGAAGTGGATTCTAGCAGTTATCGGAAGCCAGTGAAGGGAGCGGAGGAGCGGAGTGGTGTGGGAGAATTTAGGAAGGTTGAAGACCAGACGAGCCGCTGCATTCTGGATGAGCTGCAGAGGTCGGATGGCACATGCAGGTAGACCAGCCAGGAGGGAGTTGCAGTAGTCTAGGCGTGAGATGACGAGAGCCTGGACCAGAACCTGCGTCGCTTTCTGTGTCAGCTGGGGACGCATCCTCCTGATGCTGTAAAGCGTGTATCTGCAGCAACTGGAATCCACTGTCAGTGACTCCACCATGCTCAGGGCTAGCTGGTGTTATTTCATTAGCTTGTTTTGAGTTCATGCAGCATGTGAAGCTTGTACGAGGAATTAGAAACAAGGCCACACACACACACACACACACACACACACACACACACCACACTCACACACACACACACACACACACACACACACACACACACACACACACACACTCACACACACGCACACACACACTTTAAACACACTATAAGAGGATCTACTTTGTGCTGACGCTGTGACAGAATGCAGTTTAGTCCTCCTTCTCTGTCCTCTTTAATGCATCGCTCAGCCATTTCACAATACTCTCCATTCACGTTGCTCCGCTGGTCTAAGGTCAGTCACACGATACACAAATCAAATCAGCAGCAGAGGTAAGCAATGCCAAAACAACAACAACAAAAAGATTCATAAACAAAGGATCCCTTTCTAACAGTAAAACCTCTTATCGAGTAGATAGCGCTCGTCGGCTGTTTAGCTCGTTAGCTAGAATGTTGTCCCTCAAATGTATTTGTTTTTATACTTGAGTTGGATCAGTAAACATCAAATGAGCAGTTTCGTGATCTTCGGACGCGAGCAATGCCAACACAAGAAACAGAAAATTGTTTTGACAAAAGGATCCGTGAACTTTTCTTCAGCTCCAAACATCTGGAAAAACAGCAGCGCTTAACCAAACATGGATTTCCCACACCGACCGCTGCTCTCAGTGCAACACGTTAGCAGAGCACTGAAGGCCCTGCTCTCAGTGCAGCACGTTAGCAGAGCACTGAAGGTGCTGCTCTCAGTGCAACACGTTAGCAGAGCACTGAAGGCCCTGCTCTCAGTGCAGCACGTTAGCAGAGCACTGAAGGTGCTGCTCTCAGTGCAACACGTTAGCAGAGCACTGAAGGCCCTGCTCTCAGTGCAGCACGTTAGCAGAGCACTGAAGGCCCTGCTCTCTGTGCAGCACGTTAGCAGAGCACTGAAGGCCCTGCTCTCTGTGCAGCACGTTAGCAGAGCACTGAAGGCCCTGCTCTCTGTGCAACACGTTAGCAGAGCACTGAAGGCCCTGCTCTCAGTGCAACACGTTAGCAGAGCACTGAAGCTGCTGCTCTCAGTGCAACACGTTAGCAGAGCACTGAAGGCCCTGCTCTCAGTGCAACACGTTAGCAGAGCACTGAAGGCCCTGCTCTCTGTGCAGCACGTTAGCAGAGCACTGAAGGTGCTGCTCTCAGTGCAACACGTTAGCAGAGCACTGAAGGCCCTGCTCTCAGTGCAGCACGTTAGCAGAGCACTGAAGCTGCTGCTCTCAGTGCAACACGTTAGCAGAGCACTGAAGGCCCTGCTCTCAGTGCAGCACGTTAGCAGAGCACTGAAGCTGCTGCTCTCAGTGCAACACGTTAGCAGAGCACTGAAGGCCCTGCTCTCAGTGCAGCACGTTAGCAGAGCACTGAAGGTGCTGCTCTCAGTGCAACACGTTAGCAGAGCACTGAAGGCCCTGCTCTCTGTGCAGCACGTTAGCAGAGCACTGAAGGCCCTGCTCTCTGTGCAGCACGTTAGCAGAGCACTGAAGGCCCTGCTCTCTGTGCAACACGTTAGCAGAGCACTGAAGGTGCTGCTCTCTGTGCAACACGTTAGCAGAGCACTGAAGGCCCTGCTCTCTGTGCAACACGTTAGCAGAGCACTGAAGGCCCTGCTCTCAGTGCAACACGTTAGCAGAGCACTGAAGGCCCTGCTCTCAGTGCAACACGTTAGCAGAGCACTGAAGGCCCTGCTCTCTGTGCAGCACGTTAGCAGAGCACTGAAGGTGCTGCTCTCAGTGCAGCACGTTAGCAGAGCACTGAAGCTGCTGCTCTCAGTGCAACACGTTAGCAGAGCACTGAAGGCCCTGCTCTCAGTGCAGCACGTTAGCAGAGCACTGAAGCTGCTGCTCTCAGTGCAACACGTTAGCAGAGCACTGAAGGTGCTGCTCTCAGTGCAACACGTTAGCAGAGCACTGAAGCTGCTGCTCTCAGTGCAACACGTTAGCAGAGCACTGAAGGTGCTGCTCTCAGTGCAACACGTTAGCAGAGCACTGAAGGTGCTGCTCTCAGTGCAACACGTTAGCAGAGCACTGAAGGTGCTGCTCTCAGTGCAGCACGTTAGCAGAGCACTGAAGGCCCTGCTCTCTGTGCAACACGTTAGCAGAGCACTGAAGGCGCTGCTCTCAGTGCAGCACGTTAGCAGAGCACTGAAGGCGCTTCTCTCTGTGCAGCACGTTAGCAGAGCACTGAAGGCCCTGCTCTCAGTGCAACACGTTAGCAGAGCACTGAAGGTGCTGCTCTCTGTGCAACACGTTAGCAGAGCACTGAAGCTGCTGCTCTCAGTGCAACACGTTAGCAGAGCACTGAAGGCCCTGCTCTTAGTGCAACACGTTAGCAGAGCACTGAAGCTGCTGCTCTCAGTGCAACACGTTAGCAGAGCACTGAAGCTGCTGCTCTCAGTGCAGCACGTTAGCAGAGCACTGAAGGTGCTGCTCTCAGTGCAACACGTTAGCAGAGCACTGAAGGTGCTGCTCTCTGTGCAACACGTTAGCAGAGCACTGAAGGTGCTGCTCTCAGTGCAACACGTTAGCAGAGCACTGAAGGCCCTGCTCTCTGTGCAACACGTTAGCAGAGCACTGAAGGTGCTGCTCTCAGTGCAACACGTTAGCAGAGCACTGAAGGCGCTTCTCTCTGTGCAGCACGTTAGCAGAGCACTGAAGGCGCTGCTCTCAGTGCAACACGTTAGCAGAGCACTGAAGGCGCTGCTCTCAGTGCAGCACGTTAGCAGAGCACTGAAGGCGCTTCTCTCTGTGCAGCACGTTAGCAGAGCACTGAAGGCCCTGCTCTCTGTGCAACACGTTAGCAGAGCACTGAAGGCGCTGCTCTCAGTGCAACACGTTAGCAGAGCACTGAAGGCGCTTCTCTCTGTGCAGCACGTTAGCAGAGCACTGAAGGTGCTGCTCTCTGTGCAACACGTTAGCAGAGCACTGAAGGCGCTGCTCTCAGTGCAACACGTTAGCAGAGCACTGAAGGCGCTTCTCTCAGTGCAGCACGTTAGCAGAGCACTGAAGGTGCTGCTCTCTGTGCAACACGTTAGCAGAGCACTGAAGGCGCTGCTCTCAGTGCAACACGTTAGCAGAGCACTGAAGGCGCTTCTCTCTGTGCAGCACGTTAGCAGAGCACTGAAGGCCCTGCTCTCTGTGCAGCACGTTAGCAGAGCACTGAAGGCCCTGCTCTCAGTGCAACACGTTAGCAGAGCACTGAAGGTGCTGCTCTTTGTGCAGCACGTTAGCAGAGCACTGAAGCTGCTGCTCTCTGTGCAGCACGTTAGCAGAGCACTGAAGCTGCTGCTCTCAGTGCAACACGTTAGCAGAACACTGAAGCTGCTGCTCTCTGTGCAACACGTTAGCAGAGCACTGAAGGCGCTGCTCTCTGTGCAGCACGTTAGCAGAGCACTGAAGGAGCTGCTCTCAGTGCAGCACGTTAGCAGAGCACTGAAGGAGCTGCTCTCTGTGCAACACGTTAGCAGAGCACTGAAGGAGCTGCTCTCTGTGCAGCACGTTAGCAGAGCACTGAAGGTGGAAAGTAACGTTGGATTTGATCCAATCAGAAATGTGTGCATCCTTGATCTGATTGTGAATATGCACAGGTGGCAGAAAGCTCCTTTAGCAGCTTCAAAGCCAGAAAGAGTGAAATTAATCTATTTTCTATTTCATCGTTTATTTGGCACAAACTTTCAAATGCATCAAGCGTAACAGTGCCAGATCTAGCTTTGAGCTTATTTCCATCCGCAGTCCCTCACATGAAACATTTAAGAAGATTACAAACAAGGCAGATACAAAATACATGATATGCAAAAAGTGCAAAAGAGCAAGAGCAGCACACACAAGTATTCATGACATGGCAGTACAATGTAGCAGCTACGACATGTAGGAGAGACCCCTGAGTTAGAGGAGAGGAGATACCCCTGTGTTAAAGGAGAGGAGATACCCCTGTGTTAAAGGAGAGGAGATACCCCTGAGTTAAAGGAGAGGAGATACCCCTGAGTTAAAGGAGAGGAGATACCCCTGAGTTAAAGGAGAGGAGATACCCCTGTGTTAAAGGAGAGGAGATACCCCTGAGTTAAAGGAGAGGAGATACCCCTGAGTTAAAGGAGAGGAGATACCCCTGAGTTAAAGGAGAGGAGAGACCCCTGAGTTAAAGGAGATGAGATACCCCTGTGTTAAAGGAGAGGAGATACCCCTGAGTTAGAGGAGAGGAGATACCCCTGTGTTAAAGGAGAGGAGATACCCCTGTGTTAAAGGAGAGGAGATACCCCTGTGTTAAAGGAGAGGAGATACCCCTGAGTTAAAGGAGAGGAGATACCCCTGAGTTAAAGGAGAGGAGAGACCCCTGAGTTAAAGGAGAGGAGATACCCCTGAGTTAGAGGAGAGGAGAGACCCCTGAGTTAAAGGAGAGGAGATACCCCTGTGTTAAAGGAGAGGAGATACCCCTGAGTTAAAGGAGAGGAGAGACCCTGAGTTAAAGGAGAGGAGATACCCCTGAGTTAAAGGAGAGGAGAGACCCCTGAGTTAAAGGAGAGGAGATACCCCTGAGTTAAAGGAGAGGAGAGACCCCTGAGTTAAAGGAGAGGAGAGACCCCTGAGTTAAAGGAGAGGAGATACCCCTGAGTTAAAGGAGAGGAGAGACCCCTGAGTTAAAGGAGAGGAGATACCCCTGAGTTAAAGGAGAGGAGGAGATACCCCTGTGTTAGAGGAGAGGAGATACCCCTGAGTTAAAGGAGAGGAGAGACCCCTGTGTTAAAGGAGAGGAGATACCCCTGAGTTAAAGGAGAGGAGATACCCCTGAGTTAAAGGAGAGGAGATACCCCTGAGTTAGAGGAGAGGAGATACCCCTGAGTTAAAGGAGAGGAGATACCCCTGTGTTAGAGGAGAGGAGATACCCCTGAGTTAGAGGAGAGGAGATGCCCCTGTGTTAAAGGAGAGGAGATACCCCTGAGTTAAAGGAGAGGAGATACCCCTGAGTTAAAGGAGAGGAGATACCCCTGAGTTACAGGAGAGGAGATACCCCTGTGTTAGAGGAGAGGAGATACCCCTGAGTTAGAGGAGAGGAGATGCCCCTGTGTTAAAGGAGAGGAGATGCCCCTGTGTTAAAGGAGAGGAGATGCCCCTGAGTTAAGGAGAGGAGATGCCCCTGAGTTAAAGGAGAGGAGATACCCCTGAGTAAAGGAGAGGAGATGCCCCTGAGTTAAAGGAGAGGAGATACCCCTGAGTTAAAGGAGAGGAGATACCCCTGAGTTAGAGGAGAGGAGATACCCCTGAGTTAAAGGAGAGGAGAGACCCCTGAGTTAGAGGAGAGGAGATACCCCTGTGTTAAAGGAGAGGAGGACACCCCTGAGTTAGAGGAGAGGAGATACCCCTGAGTTAAAGGAGAGGAGAGACCCCTGAGTTAAAGGAGAGGAGATACCCCTGAGTTAAAGGAGAGGAGACACCCCTGAGTTAAAGGAGAGGAGATACCCCTGTGTTAAAGGAGAGGAGATACCCCTGAGTTAGAGGAGAGGAGATACCCCTGAGTTAAAGGAGAGGAGAGACCCCTGAGTTAAAGGAGAGGAGATACCCCTGAGTTAGAGGAGAGGAGAGATCCCTGAGTTAAAGGAGAGGAGATACCCCTGTGTTAAAGGAGAGGAGATACCCCTGAGTTAAAGGAGAGGAGAGACCCCTGAGTTAAAGGAGAGGAGATACCCCTGAGTTAGAGGAGAGGAGAGATCCCTGAGTTAAAGGAGAGGAGATACCCCTGAGTTAAAGGAGAGGAGAGACCCCTGAGTTAAAGGAGAGGAGAGACCCCTGAGTTAAAGGAGAGGAGATACCCCTGAGTTAAAGGAGAGGAGAGACCCCTGAGTTAAAGGAGAGGAGATACCCCTGAGTTAAAGGAGAGGAGGAGATACCCCTGTGTTAGAGGAGAGGAGATACCCCTGAGTTAAAGGAGAGGAGAGACCCCTGTGTTAAAGGAGAGGAGATACCCCTGAGTTAAAGGAGAGGAGATACCCCTGAGTTAAAGGAGAGGAGATACCCCTGAGTTAGAGGAGAGGAGATACCCCTGAGTTAAAGGAGAGGAGATACCCCTGTGTTAGAGGAGAGGAGATACCCCTGAGTTAGAGGAGAGGAGATGCCCCTGTGTTTAAAGGAGAGGAGATACCCCTGAGTTAAAGGAGAGGAGATACCCCTGAGTTAAAGGAGAGGAGATACCCCTGAGTTACAGGAGAGGAGATACCCCTGTGTTAGAGGAGAGGAGATACCCCTGAGTTAGAGGAGAGGAGATGCCCCTGTGTTAAAGGAGAGGAGATACCCCTGAGTTAAAGGAGAGGAGATGCCCCTGAGTTAAAGGAGAGGAGATGCCCCTGAGTTAAAGGAGAGGAGATACCCCTGAGTTAAAGGAGAGGAGATGCCCCTGAGTTAAAGGAGAGGAGATACCCCTGAGTTAAAGGAGAGGAGATACCCCTGAGTTAGAGGAGAGGAGATACCCCTGAGTTAAAGGAGAGGAGAGACCCCTGAGTTAGAGGAGAGGAGATACCCCTGTGTTAAAGGAGAGGAGACACCCCTGAGTTAGAGGAGAGGAGATACCCCTGAGTTAAAGGAGAGGAGAGACCCCTGAGTTAAAGGAGAGGAGATACCCCTGAGTTAAAGGAGAGGAGATACCCCTGAGTTAAAGGAGAGGAGATACCCCTGAGTTAGAGGAGAGGAGTGACCCCTGAGTTAAAGGAGAGGAGTGACCCCTGAGTTAAAGGAGAGGAGAGACCCCTGAGTTAAAGGAGAGGAGAGACCCCTGAGTTAAAGGAGAGGAGACACCCCTGTGTTAAAGGAGAGGAGAGACCCCTGAGTTAAAGGAGAGGAGATACCCCTGTGTTAAAGGAGAGGAGATACCCCTGAGTTAGAGGAGAGGAGAGACCCCTGAGTTAAAGGGCATTTAGCGGTGATTGCACGTCTGGTTGTTTCTCCTCCATTCTCTGAGTTGACCTCTGAACCCATTGAGAGTGGATCCCGTGTCTCAGCTGGGAGGCTGTTCCAGAACGAGCTGTCTTTAATGGAGCGGACATTTTGTCTGAAAGTGATCTGTCTGAGGTGGACCTCACAGTCTCCTCTGGTCTCTGACCTAGTGCAGCGTCCAGTGTGTTTCTGTGGAGGAATTCCCCTAAGGGGGGGGGGCAATAAGTGGTGTTTCTCCAGGATGGTGCAGGAGGTGTGACTGAGGCTTTCTGCCACACACCTGGACAGCTCTCTTGAACAGCTGTTCTATGGGTTTCAGGTTTGTGGCACAAGCTATCTTTCTAACCTCCTCCTTTAACTCTGATATAAGACCACCCACCCAAGAAAGGTCAGTGACACGATATTCAAATCAAATCAGCAGCAGGGGTAAGCAACGCCAAAACAACAACAACAAGATTCCTAAACAAGGGATCCCTGAAGAAAACAACATCTTGTTGAGTAGAAACCGGTCGTTAGCGATTATGCTCGTTAGATAAATAGCTAACGATCGCACACTGACAGTTTGGTCTCTCAAACGTACTTGTTGTTATACCTTTCAACCCTCTTTAAGATCAGTTAGAGATCAGAAGGGACCAAACCAAAGGGTCCCTGAACCTTTCTATCAATAAACAAACTAAAGCTTTTAGTGCAAAATGTCCTCCAACAGAAAGAGAAACCCTATTTACAAGAAAGATGGAAATGAATCTTTCTAACCTCCCTCTTTAACTCTGATACCTGAGGCGTCTGGACTCCAGCTGATTTATGACGACGGGGGTTTCCCTCAGACTGTGACGGAATAATGGATTAGTGGTGTAAACAAACCTTTATTGATCGGGCAAACATCCAGACGACGAGCGCTCGATACGTCTCTCAAGTCCTCTCTTAATCGAACTGATGATCGTCTGCCAGCATTCACTCAGTTATTCAGAGCGCTTTGAGATGCTGGAGTTCCACGACCCGGGATCTGCCTGTGGGTCCATGTGGAACCCTGAAAGGAGCACATCACCTCACACACACTATTCCAGGGAATAATCCCTCACACACACATGGCCTCACACACACACACATGGCCTCACACACACACACACATGGCCTCACACACACACACATGGCCTCACACACACAGCCTCACACACACACACACATGGCCTCACACACACACACATGGCCTCACACACACAGCCTCACACACACACACATGGCCTCACACACACATGGCCTCACACACACATGGCCTCATACACACATTGCCTCACACACACATGGCCTCACACACACATGGCCTCACACACACGTCCTCACACACACGGCCTCAAACGCACACGGCCTCACACACACGTCGCCACACACACACACACACATTGCCTCATACACACATCACCTCACACACGTCGTCTCACACACACATCGCCTCACTCACACATGGCCTCACACACACATGGCCTCACACACACATGGCCTCACACACACATGGCCTCACACACACATGGCCTCACACACACATCACCTCACACACGTCGTCTCACCCACACATGGCCTCACACACATGGCCTCACACACACATCACCTCACACACGTCGTCTCACACACACATCGCCTCACACACACGGCCTCACACACACTCACACACCCACACCCACACACACCACACACCCACACACACACACACCCACACACACACACACACACACACACACACACACACACACACACACACCCACACACACACACACCCACTAGTAGAGATGGTATTTGAAACGGAGTAAAACTGTCATTAGTTATCAGAGATTTCGTAATGAGATACTGCCTTCACCTCACCTGTGTTTCACCTGTAGTGTTGCTGTGTGTGTGTGTGTATGTGTGTGTGTGTGTGTGTGTGTGTGTGTGTGTCCTTCAGGTACTGCTCTGGTGGTTCAGTGGGATCACGTCCACCTGCAGGACAACTACAACCTGGGCAGCTTCACCTTCCAGGCGACGCTTCACAACACCGGCAGGATCGTGTTCGCATACAAAGAGGTCAGAGGTCATACAAAACGACCCTCTTCTTTATTGAAGGGTCAGGATATGTATTTGTACCTGCAGGTAGATTTGGTCTGCAGGTTAGCGAGGAGAGAAATAGCACAGAAAAATACAGTTTATTTAGTGAATCCTCCTATCAAAAAACGTGTATTTCTGTCATTTTTCTGTATTTTAGTATGTATTTTTTGTTGTTGATCCGACAACATTTATCAGTTTAAAAGAATGAATTAAGTTTTTATTTTGTACACCTTTACTCAGGCTGCATTGGCTAACAAAACACCTAAAGGAAAAAGCCAAATGCAGGGTGCTTTTAGGTACAAAAACGTTTTAAAACAAGTTGTAATGAAACCATCTTTGCCAGGCTTCAGAAAACCGTTGCATATCGCCTCGTATAGGAGGACACAGAGCTGTCAGACGGATCTCTGATTCTGGTCATTGATTTCCTCCTTTTCTCTTTCAGGTTCCTGTCGACTTGTCCCTGATCAGTTCTGTCAATCATCCGGTGAAAGTGGGCCTATCGGACGCCTTCGTGGTGGTTCACAAGATCCAGCAGATCCCCAGTGAGTACTTTAAAGAGTCCTCTCCTGCTGATGTTCAGGTGTATATCAGTATGTAGTGTCTCTACTTTAAAGAGTCCTCTCCTGCTGATGTTCAGGTGTATATCAGTATGTAGTGTCTCTACTTTAAAGAGTCCTCTCCTGCTGATGTTCAGGTGTATATCAGTATGTAGTGTCTCTACTTTAAAGAGTCCTCTCCTGCTGATGTTCAGGTGTATATCAGTATGTAGTGTCTCTACTTTAAAGAGTCCTCTCCTGCTGATGTTCAGGTGTATATCAGTATGTAGTGTCTCTACTTTAAAGAGTGCTCTCCTGCTGATGTTCAGGTGTATATCAGTATTTAGTGTCTCTACTTTAAAGAGTGCTCTCCTGCTGATGTTCAGGTGTATATCAGTATGTAGTGTCTCTACTTTAAAGAGTCCTCTCCTGCTGATGTTCAGGTGTATATCAGTATGTAGTGTCTCTACTTTAAAGAGTCCTCTCCTGCTGATGTTCAGGTGTATATCAGGATGTAGTGTCTCTATTTTAAAGAGTCCTCTCCAGCTGATGTTCAGGTGTATATCAGTATGTAGTGTCTCTACTTTAAAGAGTCCTCTCCTGCTGATGTTCAGGTGTATATCAGTATGTAGTGTCTCTACTTTAAAGAGTCCTCTCCTGCTGATGTTCAGGTGTATATTAGTATGTAATGTCTCTACTTTAAAGAGTGCTCTCCTGCTGATGTTCAGGTGTATATCAGTATGTAGTGTCTCTACTTTAAAGAGTCCTCTCCTGCTGATGTTCAGGTGTATATTAGTATGTAGTGTCTCTACTTTAAAGAGTCCTCTCCTGCTGATGTTCAGGTGTATATCAGTATGTAATGTCTCTACTTTAAAGAGTCCTCTCCTGCTGATGTTCAGGTGTATATCAGTATGTAGTGTCTCTACTTTAAAGAGTCCTCTCCTGCTGATGTTCAGGTGTATATCAGTATGTAGTGTCTCTACTTTAAAGAGTCCTCTCCTGCTGATGTTCAGGTGTATATCAGTATGTAGTGTCTCTACTTTAAAGAGTTCTCTCCTGCTGATGTTCAGGTGTTTTATCAGTATGTAGTGTCTCTACTTTAAAGAGTCCTCTCCTGCTGATGTTCAGGTGTATATCAGTATGTAGTGTCTCTACTTTAAAGAGTCCTCTCCTGCTAATGTTCAGGTGTATATCAGTATGTAGTGTCTCTACTTTAAAGAGTCCTCTCCTGCTGATGTTCAGGTGTATATTAGTATGTAGTGTCTCTACTTTAAAGAGTCCTCTCCTGCTGATGTTCAGGTGTATATCAGTATGTAGTGTCTCTACTTTAAAGAGTTCTCTCCTGCTGATGTTCAGGTGTTTTATCAGTATGTAGTGTCTCTACTTTAAAGAGTGCTCTCCTGCTGATGTTCAGGTGTATATCAGTATGTAGTGTCTCTACTTTAAGAGTCCTCTCCTGCTGATGTTCAGGTGTATATCAGTATGTAGTGTCTCTACTTTAAAGAGTCCTCTCCTGCTGATGTTCAGGTGTATATCAGTATGTAGTGTCTCTACTTTAAAGAGTCCTCTCCTGCTGATGTTCAGGTGTATATCAGTATGTAGTGTCTCTACTTTAAAGAGTCCTCTCCTGCTGATGTTCAGGTGTATATCAGTATGTAGTGTCTCTACTTTAAAGAGTTCTCTCCTGCTGATGTTCAGGTGTTTTATCAGTATGTAGTGTCTCTACTTTAAAGAGTCCTCTCCTGCTGATGTTCAGGTGTATATCAGTATGTAGTGTCTCTACTTTAAAGAGTCCTCTCCTGCTAATGTTCAGGTGTATATCAGTATGTAGTGTCTCTACTTTAAAGAGTCCTCTCCTGCTGATGTTCAGGTGTATATTAGTATGTAATGTCTCTACTTTAAAGAGTGCTCTCCTGCTGATGTTCAGGTGTATATCAGTATGTAGTGTCTCTACTTTAAAGAGTCCTCCCCTGCTGATGTTCAGGTGTATATCAGTATGTAGTGTCTCTACTTTAAAGAGTCCTCTCCTGCTGATGTTCAGGTGTATATCAGTATGTAGTGTCTCTACTTTAAAGAGTCCTCTCCTGCAGATGTTCAGGTGTATATCAGTATGTAGTGTCTCTACTTTAAAGAGTCCTCTCCTGCTGATGTTCAGGTGTATATCAGTATGTAGTGTCTCTACTTTAAAGAGTACTCTCCTGCTGATGTTCAGGTGTATATCAGTATGTAGTGTCTCTACTTTAAAGAGTCCTCTCCAGCTGATGTTCAGGTGTATATCAGTATGTAGTGTCTCTACTTTAAAGAGTCCTCTCCTGCTGATGTTCAGGTGTATATCAGTATGTAGTTTCTCTACTTTAAAGAGTCCTCTCCTGCTGATGTTCAGGTGTATATCAGTATGTAGTGTCTCTACTTTAAAGAGTCCTCTCCTGCTGATGTTCAGGTGTATATCAGTATGTAGTGTCTCTACTTTAAAGAGTCCTCTCCTGCTGATGTTCAGGTGTATATCAGTATGTAGTGTCTCTACTTTAAAGAGTCCTCTCCTGCTGATGTTCAGGTGTATATCGGTATGTAGTGTCTCTACTTTAAAGAGTCCTCTCCTGCTGATGTTCAGGTGTATATTAGTATGTAGTGTCTCTACTTTAAAGAGTCCTCTCCTGCTGATGTTCAGGTGTATATCAGGATGTAGTGTCTCTACTTTAAAGAGTCCTCTCCTGCTGATGTTCAGGTGTATATCAGTATGTAGTGTCTCTACTTTAAAGAGTCCTCTCCTGCTGATGTTCAGGTGTATATCAGTATGTAGTGTCTCTACTTTAAAGAGTCCTCTCCTGCTGATGTTCAGGTGTATATCAGTATGTAGTGTCTCTACTTTAAAGAGTCCTCTCCTGCTGATGTTCAGGTGTATATCAGTATGTAGTGTCTCTACTTTAAAGAGTCCTCTCCTGCTGATGTTCAGGTGTATATCAGTATGTAGTGTCTCTACTTTAAAGAGTCCTCTCCTGCTGATGTTCAGGTGTATATCAGTATGTAGTGACTCTACTTTAAAGAGTCCTCTCCTGCTGATGTTCAGGTGTATATCAGTATGTAGTGTCTCTACTTTAAAGAGTCCTCTCCAGCTGATGTTCAGGTGTATATCAGTATGTAGTGTCTCTACTTTAAAGAGTCCTCTCCTGCTGATGTTCAGGTGTATATCAGTATGTAGTGACTCTACTTTAAAGAGTCCTCTCCTGCTGATGTTCAGGTGTATATCAGTATGTAGTGTCTCTACTTTAAAGAGTCCTCTCCTGCTGATGTTCAGGTGTATATCAGTATGTAGTGTCTCTACTTTAAAGAGTCCTCTCCTGCTGATGTTCAGGTGTGTATCAGTATGTAGTGTCTCTACTTTAAAGAGTCCTCTCCTGCTGATGTTCAGGTGTATATCAGTATGTAGTGTCTCTACTTTAAAGAGTCCTCTCCTGCTGATGTTCAGGTGTATATCAGTGTGTAGTGTCTCTACTTTAAAGAGTCCTCTCCTGCTGATGTTCAGGTGTATATCAGTATGTAGTGTCTCTACTTTAAAGAGTCCTCTCCTGCTGATGTTCAGGTGTATATCAGTATGTAGTGTCTCTACTTTAAAGAGTCCTCTCCTGCTATTATCTCCCTGCGTCGTTTCATCAGCTTTTTGTCCACCATTTCTAAACGTTTCCTGACGTTTTTCTCTCTCGGCTCCAGATCTCTCATTTGCTTTCAGTCTCTGTAATTATACCCCATTACACTTTGAGCGAATGTGAGCAAAAGGAGCGACACTTCAAACGTCCCCCCCCCCCTGACTCTCAGTCTGCCGTAATAATGAGTTGTCAGATGTGATTGATTCAGTCCTTTAGACCTGTGTGTGAGACTTGGACGCCATCAATTTAAACCTTAGCTCATAAGAAGGGCTGTTTTTCATCGGGGGGCGATTACAGCTACATCCGGTAGAGAGAGACACTTTAGATGTGAAGGTCTGCTGAGTGACGAGTCGACTGAAGACACCGCGTGATGACACCAGTGTGATTGGGTGATGACACCATGATGGAAACGGAGGTGTTGTTCGGGAGAAAAGACATCTCTGGAGAGCTTTCTAACTTCTGTCCAACGTGTTTTAAAGAGAAGAGAAGATTTACTTTAGAGATCCCAATTATCAGTTTTTTCGAGACGGCAGCGTGCTAAAAGAAGGCCTTGCACATATAGAGAAAGAAAATAAACAAAACATGTTGACAGTGAAAGGTTAACATCTTAATAATAATAATAATAATGCATTACATTTTTTATTAGAGCGCTTTTACAGGTGCTCAAAGCGCTCTACAATTACACATTACACATATTAGACATGTAAGAGTCATTACTGCGGACTTTACCCACAGGAGCAAATGTGGGTAAAGTGAAATCTTTAGTAAATCTGTAGACTGTAAACACGAGGGCTATATTACAGCCAACGCAATGTAAGAGTAGGATATCATTACATTAAGTGTGCAAGGAATAGCATACAAGTGTAAAAGGGACAAAGTGAAGATCCAGCTATTAAAGTGAAATGGTGCTTTTCTGCCTCTCAAGAAACCACCATGTTTTGAAATACCTTATTTCTCCGAATCGGAACACAGAGAAGAAAATGACTTTCATGTCAGGTGCACCAAATATATCATATTTATATAAAAGCTGATTTCAGCCACGAGGACACGGCGTTCTCGGCTAAGAGACTCATGGAGGACCTGAAGGAAGCCTTGATGAATGAAAGGAGCAGCCATGTTCCTGTAAAACTCTTTAAACCATACCACAGATACTCCTAGCTAACTCCTCGCTCGTCCATTAGCCAGTGATCCTACGTTGTCCGTGATGAGAGGAGGAAGTGGGGTCGGCTTACATCTGGACCTTCCTCTCTTTCAGTTTACCCAGCATCCTCTGTTTCCTTCTCCAGATTCCACCCGTTGCTCCGAACCACCATGCTAGCCGGCTTTAGCACGATTAGCTTCTCCCTGGTTTGAACAAGGCAGCCGTGGAGTTGCTGCAGAACAGAGAAACAATGGACACATCTTTTAAGTCACTAACAGAAAGAGAACAGGTAGGATCAGATAAGAACGCTAAACACAGACTGAAAACATTCATCTCCCTGAGAGCGTTTATTAATCCCAGGTTTGAACCTGTGCTTGAACCTGATCTGATAATTACTCCGCCGGCCACATCACTCCTGAGTCACATGTTTTATTGAAGCGTTTGTAATCTAGGGCAGAGCAGCAGAGAGCTGATGCATGTCTGAGGTAACGAGACACTGGAGGTAGTTAGAGCTCCTCTTCACGGTGCCGCCTGCAGCCCGGTAAGAAGGAGCTGGCATGGCCAACATCTCCATGGCAACCCCTGCAGGTTATTCCCATCCACCTCCTGGTAGAGCAGCTTCAGGACGCTTGCTGTGTGCACGGACGGATCATCAGACCTTTGTAACCCTGCCCTGTAGCTTCAGACATGGCCCTGCACTTTGCGAGCATCGCCTGCTTGTTGCACAACAGGAAGACAAAGCCGTGTTCATCTCAGCTGCTGCAGGAGACTGAGGACTGCTCTGAACAAATGATGAGAGTTTGGTTTCTGTGATTAATAAATGTGAGGAATGGATCAAACTGTGTCTGCTGCAACATTAGCTGGGAATTCAAACTACAGCCATCAAACAACGAGTGCCAAACCCAGCGGACCGTTCACGACTGAAGGAACGATGCCTCGTGTTTGAAGATATGATATGGGTGGATTTGTCTTCATTGCTCGATCGGAAGACAACCCCAGTTTAATCCATTACAGTGAGAGCCAGGTACTTACTATACGTGTCAGTATCATAAACAACTGATCTGGAAGTGGTTGGGTTATTGAGGAGGATGCTGAATCCATTTCTGACCTTTTCAGGATCAACCCGAGAGCGGATATATCTGTTCTCTCTGTGGGCGGATTGTTGACTAACATGAGTAGTGTTGGACCATTTGAGATAGAGAGTATTATCTCTAACGTGGAGAATTGTTTAACCAATAAATAATCAATCTGTCCAATCCAAAGGACCCTGTGTGTGTGTGTGTGTGTGTGTGTGTTGTGTGTGTGTGTGTGTGTGTGTGTGTGTGTGTGTGTGTGTGTGTGGTGTGTGGTGTGTGTGGGTGGTGTGTGTGTGTGGTGTAGTGTGTGTGTGTTGTGTGTGTGTGTGTGTGTGTGTGTGTGTGGTGTGTGGTGGTGTAGTGTGTGGTGTGTTGTGGTGTGTGTGTGTGTGTGGTGTGTGTGTGATAGTGTGGTGTGTGGGGGTGTGTGGCTGGGTGTGTGTGTGTGGGTGTGGTGTGTGGTGCGGTGTGCCTGTGTTGGTGTGGTGTGGGTCTGGTGGAATGAAAGAAACCCATATCTGATATAAGGGACATTTAAAACGGGTTGAATAAGACGTTTATTTCGGTGTCTGTTGGGTCTAAATTCAGGGTTTCCTGGCCAACACCAGAGGCTGTACAATCTACCCCAACTTCAATAGCTTCAGGACGGGTAGAGACCTCCATGTGACCTCTATCGAGTCATTAGTGCAAAGATAATCCCCTCACCAGAGGGAGCTTTTACTCTCAGGTTGCTGCCTCTCATTCGGTGCTTTGATCAGACGTCTGGAGTGTGATGGAAGCAGAATCCAGTCACATGAGAAGAACAACACACAAGGAAGAGGGTCAAGTTCAGGTTGAATGGTTTTTAAAGGGTCCCTATTCTGCTGTTTGGGGGCGTTCCGCTTCCCTTTACTTCTATACGTTTCTGTACATACGGTCTGAAAAGCATGGAGACATCACAGGAGAGACACGACATGCTGATATACAGTTATTACACCTGAGCATCAGCCGCATGTGTCCTCTTTAAAACAACTGTCTGTTCAAGCTGTACATCTGTATTGAATTTCAATGTCGTAGCTCATTGGTCGAGCATCTCGGTGATCCATGCTTCACATGTACTCTCTCAATCAACCCAACCGTGGTTTAGATTACACTCAGAGTTACTTTCAGATCTGTTTAGGCGTGATACCGTCAAGATGGAGAGCTGAGCATGCAGAACGTATGAATACTCAACCGTAAAAAGTAAAGACAGGAGCATGGCGTGACGGAAACCATCCTCTCTGGCTCAGGCTTTGATGGCGCTCTATAGCAGTGCAGATGTGTGGAAGAGGAACAGCCCTTTTGAGTTATAGAAACCGAAGATGTGTCCAATCAATCCCTCCTTCTCCCCAGCTGATGACTTGCTGCTACAGATAATAGGAAGCTCTTTTGCTCACGGTCTGATTGACATCGTCTCTCGGGGGAAATTGCTGTCTCTTCGTCTGAGAGCAGCGTCCTCCTCTCTTTCGTCAGGGCCCAGTCTGTTATCTCTGTTTCTCTTTCTCCCTCCTTTAATGTAGACGTCAGAAGGAGGACGATCTACGAGTATCATCGCGTGGAGCTGACGAAGACGAAGATCACCAACTTCACCGCCGTGGAAATGATGCCTCTAGCCAGTAAGGAGGCTTTATTGAAACAGCCGTTCTCTCATTGTCATTTTTCACATTGTATACATAAATGCAGCCGATCGAAATGTGGCCACTCCTCTATTGCATTTCCAACATGTATTGTCCTGAGTCAAGCCCGTTCTAAACGATTTCAGGGGTGTCAAATAATATCTATGAACAACTTTATAGCCGTCAGTGTTAATAAATGGACTCCTTAGTGTCTGAACCCCGAACATGTTGAATACCCTAAAGTGTTATGATAGAAATGTATAGTAGGGTCTCCAGCTCACTGCCGGGTGTTAACCTGCATATGTTGGGCAATTAGTACAATTAGCATTAATTAGCATTATGGCATGTGGACAATAGTTGGTATTTGGCCGATTCGGACAGTTTCTCAGTGGTTGTGGGGGTTATCGGGGATGCTGAATCCAGTTCTGAAATGATCAGGATAAAAAAAATTGCAGTTTTAACCAGAAAGTGGCCATATTTGTACTCTGTGTGGACTGATTTGGACTAACATGAGTAGTGGTGCGACTGTGTGGACAATTATTCTTCAAATAAATAAGCAATCAGTCCATTTCAGATGATCCAGAGTCCCCTACATCTCCCAAATCCACCTACAATTCATCGAAATCAGTCCACAGAGAACAAATGTGGCCTCTTTCTGGGGTAAACTGTCATATTTGACCCTGAACATGTCAGAAATGAACTCAACATCCTCAATGACCCCAAAACCCCCGAAACTGTCCAAATCAGCCAAGCCATTGTTTAACTAGTGTCTGCATATGCTAACTAATGCTTATTTATGCGAGTTGTGCATTTCCCAACACATTCAGGTTAGCATCCGGCAGCTTCTATGTGTTAGGACCCCCTACTATGCATTTCTATCATAAAACGTTGTGGTATCCAACAGTTCAGCGTTCAGGACTCTATGATCTGCAAATAACGTCATTTGTCGATGAGAGCGTTTGTTTTCCAGCATATTGATCGAGGTGTTGACCCGTTTCCTCTGCCCTCTCCAGCCTGTCTGCAGTTCACCAGCTGTGGAGAATGCATTTCCTCTCAGATCAACTTCAACTGCAGCTGGTGCCATCGCCTCAACAGGTGGGGCTGGTTTTTAGGGTCAAAGCACCAATAAAGTCAGGTTTTAGCACCCTGTTGAAATCCAGAGGGGGACCATGATCACTCACACATTTGAGAGCCTAAACATGTTGGGAAGGTGCGGAAACCTGGTGAAAATGTACTTAAATTAGGATTAGCACGGGGCAAAATGGCTCAACAGCGCCACCTAGATCAAAGCCCCATATATGTATGTTTTTTGAGTGAGAAAGGCTCAGATCAGAGTCTCAAAATCCAAGATATGTCTTTAAATGTCTTCTCAGTGAAGATCCACTTTAATATGATAGAAAACGGAGAACAAAGCATTAATTCTCCACATGTTTGCAGGATATATGACATGAATCCGTTATCTAAATACTTCTGTGGATTTCCTAATGGTTCCAGAGCATACAGAACGCTTCCACACCTGGAGAGGAACACTACAGGAGAGGAACACTACAACAAGCACAGCAAGGACTCTTTAACAGACTGTTATTGATTTATTAAACTTTAGTTTTGATTTGTTTGTATATAATGCAGAAACATCACATTGTACTTGTGGCTTTTCTTGGCTTTTACCAATGATAGAAAACACAAGAATCATACATCAAAGAGTGAAATGCAACAGTCATGGTTACGACGTGCAGACAGGTGTATTGTAGTCTCCTCCCACAGGGTCACGACTGATCCATTTACTCTCTAAAATACATAAGAGACTTTTATTGGATGCAAAACCCGGACAGAAAAGCATCTCTAAACTGCAGATGTGTCACAACATGCATCGGTGCTACGTTCCTTAGCACTCAGCTTCATAATCCCTCCTCCTCTCAAACGTTCTGCGCAGAACGTCAGAACGTCCAGCTGTCAGGATGTTCTCGGGGAAACGCCAACACTTCTTTAGCTGCTCACATATGATCTTTGCTTTGAAGTGCTCTGCAGGGAGGAGGAGCTGAGGAGCTAAGGAGCTGAGGAGCTGAGGAGCTGAGGAGCTGAGGAGCTGAGGTCGGCTGAACAGGTGTGAGCTGAATGAGATGCTATCAGACGGCTTCATGCACCTCATTCACACCAACGCAACTCCGGTTCAAGTTCCGTGCTAGAGCTTTTCAGGTTCAGAACCGGTTCTTCGGTTTAGCTCCGGCTCTTTTCACACCGCCCAGAGTCCGACTGGTGCTGCGTCATTGCGTCATCGTTTGCGTCATGACGTAACCGTTTGCGTGCCTGCTTCATAAAGCCAAACCGTGTGGAAACCCCTCACAGCTGACACCGACAACAACAACAATGGCCGATTGTGCTCCAGCTTCCTCTGAACCTCTTCGGAAGACCAGATTCCCAGCAGGCAGCTGGTCTCTTCAGTGGACCACTGCTGCTTGTTAAGTTTCTCCATCGTTGTGTACAAACTGGATAAAACGCGGGCTTGTTGTTGTTGTTGTTCAGTTGATCCCGCCCCTGCCCCCGCCCTCGACGTAAGCGTGACGTATGCGGTGCTTTTGCTCTGGCCGGACAATTTTTTGGTGCTTGAAAACGAACCGGATTCCGGAGCTAAGAGGCTGCTCCGCTGCGGTGTGAAAACAGGAAAACCCGGTGCTTTTCAAGCTCCAGCTCCGAACCGGCCCTGAAACACCGTTGGTGGTGAATGAGGTACGGAGAATAAAGCAGCTCCGTGGCTCCCAGGTGTGTCTTATACTGACCAAGTGGAGTCATCCTGATGTCCAAAGGGAAACATGGGATGCATTTACACATGTCCTGCATTAAAGAGGCCCTATGCGGCTTTTAGGGTGTGTTCTATAGGTTTGTGTGCATGTAGAGCTGGGGGTCAAACTCAAACACACAGTGGGCCAACATCAAAGAATGGGTTCTAGTCGAGGGCCCGGACTGGTTCAATGTTTATTGCAGAACTTATTGAAATGAACTTATTGCACATATTAAACCTGGAACTAACAAAGCTTGTCAAAACTATCTGCAGCTTTTCCAGAGTCATTTCTTATGAGTACATTTCCCCACAGGCCAACAACAGCTTCAACAAAACTATTCCCCTCAAAGAGAAAACCAAACATGCCCTGTTGTCCTGAGAGAAAGTGCAGAAGGAAACATCCATTGAACTCAGTGTGCTGCTCTGTGATGCTAGTTCAGATACCTGGCGTCTCATCTTGGGTGCAAGGTCATCAATGTTTGGGCTCAGGCTCTGAGCGGAGGAGACCCTCAGGATGGAGTGAAGGTGTGAGAGCAATATACCGGCGGGCCAGATCTAATGGTGATTAGAAATTATCCTGCGGGCCGAAATTAAATCCACCAAGGCCCTAATTTGGCCCCCGGGCCTCGAGTTTGACACATGTGGTATAAATGGTCTGCAAACGCTAAAATCCATGTTTTCACCTCCAGGAAATCCACAGAAATATAATCAGCACGTGTTTTATGACAGATTAATGTAATATCTCTTGCAAAAATGTCTAAAATGTGGAGTTTTTAAGTTTTTCTCTGTTTTATATCAAATTAAAGAAGATATGTTGAGGTTTTCATCACATTTAAAGACATATTTTGGATTTTAAGGGCGTTTATCACTGTTTTCTAACAAAACCATTAAAGGAACTTAAACATCTCGCACACAAACACACGTTTCAGCCTCTCAAAAGCTGCTTTTCTCTGTTTTATACCGTTAAAGTGGATATCGCTGGATATTTAAAGACAAGATCATTAAAGCACACACTGCTCACAATAAACCTTAGAAATGAGCAGAGACTTTCAGAGACGAGCTAAACCGACAGTATGGTGGACATGCTTCCCTCAGCGACGTCATGGAGAGACGCTGCATGCTTTGAGCACTGATCCTCATTAAGCTGCATTTAATTAGCTTCCTCACTGTGTTAATGTCTCCCTCTTTGTACCCTGCCCTTCCTTTGAAGCACGCTTTAAAGCAGGCGCTAATTCAAACCAGGGGGGTTAATGAGAGGCGCGGAGAGGACGACCCGATGAGCTGAGAGGTTCTGACGAGGTCACAGGACGTTGACTTCCTCAAAAGTACTGAAATAAATCTGCATCCGGTAACTTTTAGTGTTCAGACAGAGGTTTCGGTAGTCAAAGGCAACATCTGAAGGGCATTACAAAACGCAGCTCAGAGACAATACAATGGCCTTATGGTAGGTGCTGCAGGTAACTACGCAGGGAGAACTAAAAACTGGCCCTTAACTGCTTTTGAGGATTTGAGAACCCTGTTAGCCTCTCAAGAAAGCACGATTATGGCCAGTTATGGTCCTATTTTGGCCATAAATCTCCTTTCCTTGCCCTAAATGAAGGACCTTGGTGTCAAATCGTACGTTTCTGACGGCGTAGAAACCACAGTGAGACGTCAGGAATTACTCAGAATGCATTAGTACTAGGGATGGGAACGATTATTTCGAATATTCGAAATTAATTCAGGTATTCGAATATGAGAATATGAGTTATGAATATTTTTATTTGTAATTTTTCTTTTTTTGGGAGGGGGTGCCTAGATTGATTACATAATGAATCAAATGGAATAATTCAGTGCCATAGCTAAGTGTGTTGGGGTCTAAAGGGTTTTGCCTCCGCTCACGGTCCCCACAGCGGGCAGAGCTGCAGGCAGCTGATCTCTCTCTCGCGTCCGGTTAGAACTTCATGTCCAAATCCATCAGAAAACCAAGTGATGTTTTAAGCATGAGAGCTGTAGGCCTATAGCTGTCAACTGTTCAAACTGTGATCACCAGTTCAATCATTTGACAAATTCGACTTGGTTTCTAAACTTATTTCAACATGTATTTATTTATTTTTCAAAATTGGGGGTTGAATATTCGAATATACATTTGCTTTCAAATTCCATCCCTACTTAGTAGAGGTGACGGGTAGTTCATTCTGCTAACATAGAAGACTAGTGTGATTATTGTCCACAATGCTTTCTAATAAGCCCCACATTTTAACGTTTCGTGTTTTAACATGACGCAAACAAGAGCATTCAAAGAAGCAGTGAAGGCGGGACAAAGTACTTTTAGGGGGTTTAGGACTCATTCCTAAAGGAGTATACCTCTGAGTAGCTAGAAGCACTAAGGAAGGATCAATAACAGCATGAACTCAAAGGTTTGGACCCTGCTTTTTCAGAAGGAATGAAACCCAGTGCTCTCCCTCATGAGCTCATTATATTCAAAACTCACCGGGGTCTCCGGACGCCTTCCAGTAGAAAACACAACACGTATCCAACAGGGACAGTAAGTCTCATTCGACTTCCTTTCCCTCTCGGGAGGTTTAGAGAAAGCAGTCTGGGATCAAACTGAGGAATTCTGCCTCTCCTAAATGAAAACAGAGGACTTTTGGGGGCGGAAATAAGAGAAATGGACGATTAGAGAAAAGATGGAGATGGACTCCTTTACATCGGTTATTGTTATGTGTTATTAGCACATAGCTGGTTATAGGCAGGGCCGTATCCAGGATTTCCTAAATACCGAGGTCCAAATATGTTAGGGGGGTTCGGGGGATACCCCCCGAGATTTGGGGGATTTTCATGATCTAGTTAGGTGCTTTTTAAGTCCTGTGGGGGGTCACACATTGGATAATATATTGATTTCAAACCATGTCAGTGGGCTGCAGCATAAATTATTTTTGAAAGTGTAATACATAAGAATCAGTTGATTGTTCTATTAATGATCTGGAAGCAGAAGAGGCTAAAATGATCACAACACATTGTCAACAATTCATTTTCCATGTCTCTCTCTCCTTTCCATAACCTGCCCCCTCTCTTCCATCTTCTTTAGTCCTCTCTGTCTTCTTCCTGTTCATTACTCTCTCTGTCCTCTACTCTTTCTCTTTGTTCAACCTCTCCCCTCGTTGTTCACTTGTTGCTCCTCCTCACTTGTCGCTCCTGCCAGTGAATCAAAAGCAATTCAGCCATTTAGTTCATTTCACTAATTGTTTGCATTCTTTTTTTTTAAATCTGTTTTGTTTGATTCTCAAAAGAGAACAAAGATTGTAAGCAGATTGTGTTTTATACATTGTATGTT